TAAAAAAAAAAAAAAAAAAAAAAAAAAAAAAAAAAAAGTTATGCAAAGCAAAGATACTGTGATTCATATCATGCAAAAGAATGAAAGATAATTACCCAGAGGATAGAGATGATCAAATTAGTATGTAATGACTTTAAAACAGCTACTGTTGGTATTTTAAGGTTATACAGGAAAGTATGAATACAGTGAGGAAATTTGGATAGGGGAATTATAGCTATAAAAAGAATAAAATGGAAAGTCTTCCATTGAAGAGTATAATAACTAAAATAAAAATTAATTGGGTTAATTTGTTGACAGATTATATATCACAGTAGAAGAGATCCATGAATATTAAAAAATCACATAAAAACTATTCCAAATGAAGCACAGAGAAGAAAAGTCTTAAAGTAAATTACAAAAGGATAGCCCTACAAACCTACCACAGGGGCTGAAATTAAAACATTTACCAAGAAGAACTGATGATGATCTGGTACACTGAAAACACTACTGGCATGAATGCCACATGAAATGTCACACCCACACTGGAAAAGTGTTTAGCAATTTCTAACAAAATTAAATGTATGTTCAACAAATGACCCAGCAATTTAACATATGTTTAACACATGACCCAACATATTCCATGAAGAAATGAGGGCAGGTGTCTACAAACAAAACAAAAAATGACAACAACACAAACACTATGTAAGTATGCCCATAATATTTTATTCATAATAGCTCACAGTGCCAAGCCATCCAGCTGTCTAACTGGGGAATAATACATTGCATATCTTTTCAAGGGAATGAATGAAAAAGAACTGATATGCAACAGCATGGATAAATTCTGGTGACATTACACTTAGAGAGAGGAAACAGACAAGGCTGTATATTCTGTAAAGTTCATAAAGCAGTAAAACTAGTTTGTGGAGGAAGTAGGAGTGGTTTCCTCTGTTGTGGGCATTGCTAAATATATATGGTGCAAAGATTTCACAAGCTCAGGGTTTTAAAAAGATTCCTGTGAGTGTGTAGAGCATATTTACATAAGATTTTTATTTAAAGATCAATATTATATCTAATGAGAAAGAATAATCATCATCATTGAGAATCCAAAAAATTTGACAAAAATTTTCTAGATTTTTATTTTGCCTTTTCACAAAGCCATGTGCTTCATATCTTAATTGAGCTGCAAATATTTTGTGATGAATCTTAATTCTAGAGGACTCAGGCAGATTCTCCCACTGGGATCTTTCTTTAAGGTCCTAAACTTGGTGTCTAATTGGTTAAACCAGGTGAAAGCCATCAGAAGACAGACAAACCAATCTTAGTTGTCTTTGGGGACATTTTAAACTTTAAACAGCACATTATAAATCCCATTTCCCTTATTTTAGACAAACTACAAAGTTAGATTTCCAGTTTTCCTCAGAATCAGCTATGTCATTTCTCCGTGTGTACGGACGGCTTCAGCAAAAGCTTGTTGGATTATTAATGAGTTCATTTCCTCAAAGTTATAATTTTATTACACTTCTAATTGATTTACGCCTACATAAAGTTATGAAAATTTCTCTTTGGAACTCTTATAAACCTTAAAAATACTCATTTCCCTTAATAGAAGATGATTGATTTCACATCACAAATCTTGAGTCATTTCTCTATTGGCTTTCTCTATAGAAAAGAGTGAATTTTTAATCTTCTTACACATATTCCACTTCACACAACATGATTGTCTTAGTGTCTTTGAATGCATCATTTTAATTTAATAAGTTCTTTTAAAAGCCTTAGATTATTAAAGATGTAAAAAGTGAATGGCCAACATGCCAGAGGCAAAATGTCTTCACTTAGAAGCATGAAATTAATTGAGACTGCTTTTTGCCTGAAGATGGTACTACTAATAGGAACGCGCCACAGGGCATGGGTTTGACAGTAACTGTAAGTTCAGACTTGTCGTTATGAATATATAAAGCTGACAACTGCTTGGCTGTATGAGGGTTCAGCTAGGCAAGCTGGGTCCAGGATGGCGTGTAATGTACTGCAATTGCACTGCGATAGTCAGTAATGACCAAATAGACCCACACCAAGGTAGAGGCTGTGGAGCAGCCAGCAAAGGTGACTAAGGAAGGATGACCCATAAGGACAGTAAAAAGTGCTATGAGACAGCAAAATCCAGGAGAGCTGATAAAGCCACTGGAGGAGGAGAGTGGCAAACATTACTTCCGGATAGTGTAAAATGGGCCACTGGCTTTAGTTACACGAAGATCGTTAATGTACACGTCAGCTTTTAAAGATTTTCTTTTACATTTTGGAACTGGGTGGAAGAAAGCCTGATTGGAAAGAGTTCAAGGCAAGTGGGAAAACGATGGTAATAACCGACACCTAAAGTCCCATCTTGCCAGAGAGTTCCCCCTGCTCCGGTACCGGGGATTGAACTCGGGTTGCAAGAGAGTTTTGATTTAAATGGGGGAAAGAATGAAGTGATATAGCAAGAACCCGAAAGGGATGATTTTTTCCCCTTAAATTCTTTTATAGGTACAGTTTAGGTATATAATACATTCACATTCATCATTGGGAATGTGTACCTTTACATGATGCATCTTAGTTCTTATTGATTTGTTTTGATCATTAAGAGGGTAGATATTTCAGAACAGATGCACGCTAGTGAGAAGAATCTGTAAAAGAAAACCGATACAGAAGAAAGGAGACACTTTAGAATGCTGTTTGAAGGTAGCTAAATGGAAATGGACTTTAGCACAGAGATGAAGGGAATGATTTTGAAGGTACATAAGAGCTCTTGTATCAAGAATAAAAATGAAAGCTGTGTATGTGATTGCAATGCTGGGTATTGGCGTATAGGGTAATACGAGCTCGTGGAAGAAATTCTCTAATTCTTTACATTTTCATGGTGATATAGTGAAGCAAGGTCACTGGCTGAGGGTGAAGATGGACAGAAGCTTCGGGAGTTTGCGGAGGGAGGAAACCCTGTGAAATAGGCATCTAGAAGAATGGTAGAGTAAATCACGGCAGAAATGCTGCAAAATTTCTTGGCAGGAGGAAAGTGCTTCTTGATATTTTAAAATTAGAGAGCAAAATTGGCCAAGGGTTTTTCAGCTCCACATTTGGCTGTCTGAGAACGTGGGTGGAGTTGCAGAGTAGAGTGGGGTGACAGAAATTTGGCCCTGCAGGGTGGGGACAAGAATGTAATAGGGATGAAATTCAGCATAAAGATGGTGGCATCAGGAGATTATAGGTCCAAGATAAACAATTTTTGGAGTTAGGGATAGTCAGAAAAAATAGAAAATATTGGTCAAGGAGCACCATGTTTATAATTCTGGACTGTGAAGGGGGCACAGTTTTGTTGTTCTTTTAGCTTATCTTTTTTGTTTGTTTTGCTAAGGTATGTTGTGGAACTGAAGGCTGAGGCACGCTGAGGCTCAAGATCATTAAAGAAGTTTAAGGGACAAAGAAGTAAGAGCATTGGAAGATGGCACACCTGGTGTTGCAGTCATCAAACATTGTAAGAATGAGTTAGGAGCTGCCTGAGGGTCTGTAGATGACTGTTGAAAGGAGGGGAGGGGTTGGTGTTGTTTTATAATTTAAATGTTACAGGGAGCGTTTATCGAAGGAAGAGAGTGAGTGTTTTGAAGGAGCGGCAAAGAAAGTAGGACACTGATCTTACCTTGGCAGTGAGCGATATAGAGATAAAACCACCCATTTTAAAAGTGCTTTAGAAGAAGCTGTTCCTTGGGGAAGAGTTGGCCTTGAAATAGAGCAAGGAGATGGTTGTAGCCTGAATAATGGTCCCCAAAGGTATTGGTTCCATATCCCCAGAACCTCTAAATGTTGCCTTATTTTTTAAAATGTCTTTGCAGTTGTGATTAAGTGAAGGATCTTGAGATGGAGAGATTCTCCTAGATCATCTGAGTGTATCCTAAATGTAAATATACCTGTCTACATGGAGAGAGGCAGAGGAATTTGACAGACGAAGAGGAGAAAGCTGTGTGGGGATGGATCAGAGGAACACAAGCCAAGGAATGCCAGAGTCACCAGAGGCCACAGAAGCAAGGGATGGATTCTTCCCTCTTTAAGGAGCACAGCCATCCAACACCTTGATTGATTTGGATCTTGTAGCTTGGGAGTTGTGAGACAATACGTTTCTATAGCTTTGGATCACTAAGTTTGTCACAAAATGTAAGTGCAGCCACAGAGAATTAATAAAAGGTGAAGGAAGGATTCAAAGAAGTGAACAAGAGGCAGAACAGACTTTGTTTATGATAGATCTTAAATTCCAGGGACCACAGGGAGGAGGGAGGAGATAGAGTTGTAGAGAAACTAGGAAGCTATGTACAGCAAAGACATGGAGGGTAAATCTGAAGCCTTTGGGCTATTTGTAGTTATCGGCCAAATAGAAATAACAGGATTCTTAACCAGGGCATGCAATGGAATTAGTCCTGATGACCTAAGAGGCAGATTTTGAAGGTGGGTTGAAGGGGGAAGAGGATATGTTTCTATGGGCAGGGTATTTATGTTCCTCCAAAATTCACATTTTGCAATCCTACTCCTTAAGGTGAGGCTTCTGGTAATTGATTATGTCAAGTCTCTATTGAGCCAGAAAATTAATAGTCAGTATGTCCCCTGAGATACCACATCTGGTACCTTGATCTTGGATTTCTGGCCTCTAGAACTATGAAAAACAGATGTTTGTTGTTTATAAGCCACCTACTTTATGGTATTTTGTTAAAGGAAAGACACGGATCTTACTAGCATATAGCCTCTTCTTTTCTACAGATTAAGGTATGGAGAACATAGAAGGAAGACCTAACTGAGAAAAAATATATATTACATATATATATATATATATATATTTAAGCTGTGAATGTATGAATATATGTACATATATTTACTATGCATTACATCTTTATATGAGTTTAGATGTACATTTTTCTTTATGTTCAAGCACAGCTATATATAAATATATGTGCATATTATTTTTAAAGCATGGAGCAAACTAGAAGGACAAACATTTGGATAGGATAGGAGAAATTATGAAGACGAAGATGGAAAGAAAAATTCTAGCATGAGAAAATAAAGCAAAAAATGATAATATATGCAAAGATTACGTACATTTAGCCTTTTATGTGAAACTGAACAGGTCTGTATATATGTAAGAAATTTTAAGTTTAAATTTATAAGATACACTTTGTATTGCAATAGAAACACCAAAGGAACAAAGGATTTGTTAAATGTTCAATCCCAAAACAATGCCACGATAACAATCTGATCTGTTTTCTCTGCTTTTGGTCCTTCTTGGTTGCAGTTCGTAGGATTTATGTTTCTAACTGATCCAGTACTGCAGGCACTTCAATGTAGCACAGCTCTGGCTCTCCCTCTTCAGATCATGCCCTGAATCTTCCTTTTTGTCCCTGGAAGAGGGAGGCTGCCAGTACTCAATGGCATCTGTGTGTCTTAAGGACTTGCTTGGGATGACCTTGAGGTGATTTTGTTTTTAGAGCTTTGTCCATTATTTGTATGTGATTAAAATGTGGCTGAAAATATCTTCTAAGCCTTTTAATATGAATAGTATCTACTTAAAAATGGCCAGGTAGCCGGGCTTGGTGGTGCACACCTGTGATTCCAGCATTCAGGAGGCTGAGGCAGGAGGATCACTGCGAGTTTGAGACCAGCCTGGACTACATAGTGAGTTCTAGATCAGTCTCAGCTACATAGTGAGACCCTGTCTCAAAAAACAAACAAACAAACAAAACAAAACAACAACAGCAACAAAACATCAACCAAACAAACAAAAAATGGCTGGCTATTCACTTTTTCCTTTTATTAATACTGCCACCAAACTGGTTTCTGATTTCAAATCTAAAGGCTTTCCATGGGTAGCTCTACTCTTAAACTGGGAGGTTAGAGGCATTTTAATTTTTCCCAACACCACTATCTCACTTATGTCATAATTCAGTACAAGACTTGAGAACATGCATTTGTCTTCTGGGTCATCTTCACTTGGTGGAAATAAAAAGCATGGAGGTTTGCTAGAAGTTTCTAAGTAGAACTTTCGCTCATACTGCGTGGACTAATTCATCACTTGTATAAGCAGTCAGAGATTCTGACGCTAGATCCCCTGTTCAGATCCCAGCTTTACTACTAACTTTATGTCCTTGGCAAGTTTCTTATCCTGTGGCCAGAGCTTTCATCTTTAAAATGTAAATGATAACAAGCAACAGCAATTACCTCATAGAGTTGTTGTGAAGAATGAAGGAATTATTTCTGCACTGTCTTAGTTACTTTTCTTTTTGTTGAGACAAAATACTAAACACTCACCATTTAAAGGGGGAAGGTTTACTTTGGCTCACAGTTTGCAGGGGTTTCAGTCCACAGTCAGCTGGCTCCAATGCAGGACAGCATGGCAGAGGGGTTTCGCAGAAGAGAAGAATTTCATGGCATGGCAGACAGAAAGCAGCAAGAAGCAAGCTGCAGCAGCAAACCTCCCTTTCCCTTTAATCCCATCAAGGATACCATCCTTTTGGGTGGTGCGCCCACAACAAGATGGGCCTTCCAATTACTGACACCAAGAACAGTGCTAAACCCATCAGTGGACGAATTTAATTATCATACCCTTAATTCATACTCACATACCCTTAATCCACCCCAGATCCAGGTACCTCTCAAAAGCCTCACCTATAAACACATGAAGCTCTGGGGAGACATCTAGATATAAGCCATAACACGCAGTGTGAATTCCCGTCATGCAGAAAATACTAGATTAAGAAGATTATAATTATTATTACCGAGAGAATCATATGATATGTAGGCTGAATAGTCCCCATCCTGAAGTGAATAATGAGTGGAGAAGGAGGAAAAGGTTAGATGACAAGCTGAAAAGAAAAGTCTGTGGCTTTATTTAGGAAATGAGAAGCTAAAAGTTCACTGGAGAGCAACTGCTCATTGACTTGAATTTCGTGTATATAAAAATCAATAAGATTCACTATAGTAAATATTGACATCAGGTATAGAGTGTGTGTAAGAAATCGACACATTAGCTTTCCCTCACTATATCAAAATGCTTGATACAATCAACTTTGAAGGAGGACATGCCTGTTTGGTTCATAGTTTTCAGTGATTCAGTGCATGGTCAATCAGCTTTTTGCTTTTGGGCCTGTGGCAATGCAGGTCACCGTGTTGAAGGCACGTGGAGAGAAGCTGCTCACCTCAGGTGGCTGAAAAGTGGAAGTGAGAGGAAAAGGAGCGGTCAGGGTGCTGATATCCCCCATGACCTAACTTCCTCCTATGAAGTCCTACCCTAAAGATTCCACCACCGCCTAATAGTGCGAGACCTGACTGAACTTGAGCAACTCCATGTTGACCAGCAAATGACCCAGACACTATTGTTTCACCCCCTTATAGTATAAGTAATTGTGAATTAATAGGTAACCACTTGGTAGTTCTGGGAAACTAGATAGAATCTGTAGCTGGGAAACTAGAGAGAAACTGTAACAAACATAGAGACCTGAAGTAAATCACTCCACTCCTTGCTTGCCCGTAACTGAATGTTCTGTACACCACAATCTATAAAGCAATGGGTAATCGATCTGCTGACCATTAGTACGTAACTGTCAAGTACCACCAGCTCAGACCAACTGACCACTTGCCTTTGTCCCCTTCCTGTAAGTTTCGAGTGTTAACTCCCCCCATAGCCCTTTATAAAATAGCCTCTGACTCTGAGCTAGTTGCCTCTGAGCTACTTGGCTCCAGAAGTGCCATCTGGCCAGACTAGTAAAGGTCTATTTGCAGACCAGCCTGGTGTGTTCCTTCCTGGGCGACTCTAGCTGTTGAACAAGCTCCTGGAGCCTCGCTGAGCTTTAGGGCTCAGCATTATGGAGGCCTTTTGGCTGTTCATTCTCCACGGAGTAAAAGTGAGACTTTAAGTCTTACAATAGCTGCAAAAGCTGGGGGCCAAGCCCTTAACATAGGGCCTTCCAGAGTCAAAGTCTATCAATATATAAAACTACTTTCATCAAGGCTAAAACTGTGTCTCTCAGGGAAAGTTAAAGAACCGGAAACTCATAATACATGCTTAAATTATGAATAAAAGTATGAAATCAAATAGAAAAGTCATTTGATATTTACATTTGTTTCTCAAAAACTGGCTAGGACAGTGAAATTTCCATGAGAAAGACAAGTCCACATTTCTTTGCTTATTTCTGCATCCAATAGATTAACAACAGAAAAATCTGGCTTTTAACTTCAATTTGTTCAAGGGCAACTTTATCATTCTGAAAGGTGTTTTTAGACCTGATTCATAAATGCCTCTGTTTTTACAATTTTATTTCAGAGAACACCAGTGAATTTTTAGCAGGCAGTAGGTTATTAATGAGACAAATTGGCGCCCAGTATCCTTATCAATCTTTACTATTAGGAGTCAGATGAGTTATTCAAAGAATGTACATATCATGTAATAATGGAGTTGCTCTCTTTTGATTTTATAACTTCTGAGTTATTTCCACATAAAGTAAAATCTAATCAGATGTTTTACTGTGAATTTTATATAAACATGAATAGGAATTTTTCAGCTTTCCTGTTCCTTTTCTGAAACTCTTTTAAAGCACAGTTTGAGCCTTACTTGGCAGTCTTTTAGAAGGTGATTTGTGTGTATGCATGGATTCTGGCCTGTCAAAAGGGAAAGAATGTCAAAATAGAGTATGCAAATTTGTCACCTGTAGTAATTTTATTTAATTTGTACTTGCAAGGGAAAAATAATATAACTATGCTAGTTCCACTATAATTACAGAATTTTAAGGAAGGGCTATGTCGACTTTCACTTCAAGGTGACATGTTAAGGTAGGGAGCAAAGGTTAAATTTCTGTAATGGATATCGCCACCTTCCAAGGCTGTGACCTTGGCTAAGCAGCCCCCCACCCCACCCGATACCCTTAGCCCTCTCCATTTGTTTTAAATGGCGATTTCTCCCAACTTTGAATATTTTTTCACCTGCTGCTTTTCAGGTATTGGGGGTGGGAAGTGTGTAGTACGTACATTGTCGTCATCTTTGAGAAATGCAGTTTTCCAAATTTAGATGGATCGGCAGCTTTGGGAAGTAGCATCATCTCTATGAAGGCAGTGGAGGAGACAGTAAGAATGAAAATAGAGACTCAGTGTCATGATCTGAATTGTACAAAAATGTATGTTTTGAATTCCTGATCTCCGGACCTCAGTATATGACTGTACTGGAAGTAAGATCTTTAAAAGGGCGATTAAGCGAAAAAGAAGTCATTAGTGCGGATCCTAATTAAATCTGATTTAGGAGAAGAGGAAATCTGGACACACAAGGAGACACCGGGACAGGGGAAAGGCCATGCCAGGATGCAGACAGAAAAGGAGAGACCAAGCCTGCCAACACCTCGATCTTGACTTTTGGCTCCAGAACTGCAGTACAGTGAGTTCTGAGTTTAAGCCACCTGATCTGTGGTGTTTTGTTTTGGCATCTGCAGTAAACTAATATGACTAGTTTGTTAAATGACCTTCAGTACCCGCACTACCCCCGCCCCTTAGCATTAAACTTTGTCAAGGAATAAGTGTACCAGACAGTGAAGCAGGCAAGGAAAAGCTTGTTCGAGACAACTGCAATGGGAGAGACTGAATTCAGCTCTGTTGAACCGATGGTAGAGCTGCTGCTGCTTGGTGGGAAGGTAAAGACC